CGCTCCCCATACCCTCCAGGGACACGTCTACAACTAAGCCACTAGATTCCTGTAACCTTGTTGTTGCTTGCCTGCTGCTGTGGGGAAAGGGCAGGAATGCCCCTGGGACTCAGTATGGTATACTGCTGTCCCCTATGGCACCTTGCACAGAGGTCCTGGGGATGTGGCATGATTCCCGTTGCCAAGTGCTTTTCCCACAACAGACCTGGGAGGTGGGCAGTGGCAGTATCTCCTTTACAGCTAAGGATCCTGAGGCTTGGAGGGGCAGCAGCTTAGCCACGACCACAAGGCAAACCCGGATCTCCTTAGCCCCACTTTTCTGTTCTTTGTGCTGCGTGCCACCTCTTAAATGCTGTTTGCTGAGTGACTGTAGCTGGATATCACCAGTGAGCTATGTCCCCACTGCCATGTTGAGTGAAGCTGGTTCATGGCTTAGGTTCTGGGCCTCCCTCCGTTGGGGCACCTGCAGCCCCAACAGGGTAATGTTAGAGATCTGGTTCCGTGCTTCTCGTTCCCTTAGAAAAGGCTTCTCTGAGCTTGTGTCCCAGGTGGAGATCTGGCCTGAGGTGATTCTCTCTGGGCCTGCCTGGCTGCTGGGAGCCCTGGTCGCCTCGGCTTTCCCCGTCCTCACTTTGCTTCTCAGCTGTGAGCCTATGTGGCCAGGAGTCCATGTCCTCAGCCGTCGTGTCGTTGAGCGTTCCTTAAGAACGGTGCGCCTGTAGGACGTAGGCCCTGCTCTAGGGGACCCAGTGGGCCTTGGCCAAAGCGTGGTGATGCTGTCCTGAGGGAGACAGACAGTGAGAGCCAGCAGGCACATGGGGACAGCTGCCTGAGGTTTGCCTGCCCGGTCACCACCACTGCTGCTCCTCCTCTCCCCACGCATATCCACCTACCTCTTCTTTCCCTTTACTAGTTAACAAAACGCCACCCTAGACAATACCCTTTGGGGAATGGCAACTGGACATCTCCTGTTCTCAGCAGCTGTGAAGCGGAATTGGGGTTCAGGAGCATCTGCTGCCAGAATGAACCCAGTGGGAGGATAGGAGCCATGTGCCCACCTTCCGCGCAGCCAACTGCGCCTCCTTGCTCCCGTCCCAGCCCCAGCTGCGGCCTTCCCACTCAGCACCAGCAGCTTCCCGGCCCTCTGGCTCAGCAGGCGGCCCTCCCTCCCCACGCGCTGTCCGTCCATCCGCGCACCGCTGCCGCCCACCCCCACACCTCCCCACACATAACTGCTCGGCTCCAGTTATGAAGCTGCCCCAGATGCAAATGGAGGGGTGGGGACAGGAATCTGGGTTGGCAGAGGCGATTACATGGGTTGCATCTCCTTGGGCTTCATCTTAGGGACTGCTGGTACCTTTTGTGGCCTTCTCTTTCAACTTTGGAAAGAGGATGGGTAAAGATAAAGGCTAAAACTTATGCATCTGAAGCGGATTGGAACTGTCTGCTCTCTCCCCAGATGTAGAGCTGGGCTGGGGCCTGCTGCTCAGGCAGCTTTAGGGGTAATTTGGCCCTGGAGGAGTCAGTGGAGCTGGTTAGGGGCCTGGGTCCTTCGAGAGGTACTCACGCCAATACTCTTGTATATAATAAAATGTCCCTTCCAACTCTGACCCTGTGCTCTCGCATTTCAGAGTTCAAGGAGGCCTTTTCCCTGTTTGATAAGGATGGAGATGGGACCATCACCACCAAGGAGCTGGGGACGGTGATGCGATCCCTGGGTCAGAATCCGACTGAGGCCGAGCTCCAAGATATGATCAACGAGGTGGATGCAGATGGTGAGCCCTGAGGAAGTGGGGCGGACGTGTGGGCCCGTGGGCGGCCCTCATACCCCCGTGCTGGGGAGTTTGGCATTTCCCTCCCGGGGCCAGAAGTTGTCTCCCAAGTACCAGCTGAGAGCATGGTCTGTGTTGCTGCGTTCCCAACTCTTCTAACCTGAGCACCCATTTCCAGGAAATGGGACCATTGACTTCCCTGAATTCCTGACCATGATGGCAAGGAAGATGAAGGACACAGACAGTGAGGAAGAAATCCGAGAGGCGTTCCGCGTCTTTGACAAGGTGGGCAGGTGGCTCTGCGGTGTGCAGCGCCCCCTCCTCCTCAGGCTGTGAGTGGAGGCCCGGCTCCAGCACTGGCCGCTACTACTGGGTCACTTTGAGAATTAAATGAGGTGGTGGATGGAAAAGTTTGGGGAGGTGAAGGAGGCACTTGTGTGCAGACGTGAGGCCTTTTCTCATCTGCTCCTCCAGGACGGGAACGGCTACATCAGTGCCGCGGAGCTCCGTCATGTGATGACCAACCTCGGGGAGAAGCTGACTGATGAGGAGGTGGACGAGATGATCCGAGAGGCGGACATCGATGGTGACGGCCAAGTTAACTATGAAGGTGTGTCTGCCCCTCCGTCACCCCGGGAAGCCCCGGCCCAGGGCGGAGCCCAAGGGAACTCAGGCGGCAGCCCGATGGGAAGGCAGAGGGATGGTCTGTGGGAGCGACCGTGGGGTGGGTTTCCCAGCATTCGTGACATCCTCCGGCATCACTTGCCCACGTCCTAGTTAATGGGAAAAGGCGGAGCCACATTGTGCCTTCAGCGAGCAGGCCGTGGGTCTCCGGCCCAGAGTTGGGTCCCCAGGTCTGACGCACATTCCTTCCCCCGTCTTGTCTCTGCAGAGTTTGTACAGATGATGACCGCGAAGTGAAGGCCCCGGGCAGCTGGTGATGCCCGTTCTCCTTTGATCTCTCTCTTCTCTCGCGCGCGCTCTCTCTCTCCGACACTCTTACTCGCATAACCTGGTTCTAAGCCAACCCTGACTGACGACTGAGAATCCGACATAAAACAACATGAGATTTGTCCCAAGCTGCATGACTGCTCTTTGATCTCCCCTCGTTCTTCCCTCTCTGCCCTTGGACATCCCAGCACCTGAGCTGACCCCTCAGACAGACCCTCCCCCACCCCAAAAAAACCACACAGGGGATCTCTGCCTTCATGGCTCTCTGTAGGTTTCCTCCTCTCCCTTTGATTTCTCACCCTGTGTTCGGTGGCCAGTGCTGGCCCCATGCCGGGAGCTGCAGCAGAGTGGGGAAGAGTGTCACACCCTACCTGGGGCAGGAAAGCCAAACCCTTTAGATGTTTGCATGCGTCTGGCACTGTGGTTCTGTGTTCAAAACCTTGGGGGGGGGGCCATGGTGAAAGGCCTAGAGGAGTTCCGACTTGAGGTCTTGGGGTGGGTGGTGGGTGGGCATGAGGAAAACGTTTGAAATCGAGGAGAAGGGAATTCTAGACACTGATTGGGGGGTAGGACAGGTGAAGGGAATGAGGTAGGGATGGACAGCATTACACAATCCATTGGCTTTTCTTCCCAAATAATCCAGCAATTGGCTCGACCAAGTTTTGGCCTGTGGGAGAGGAGGGGAGAGGTGTCCCTGCTCCCTCGGCACCTTGTATAAATTGTAAATGTCCACACTCCTCAAGCAGTCTCTTGAGCTGTTCTGTAAATATCTGGTGCTAATATCCCCGCCGCTCTCCCCACCCCAGCCGGCTTCTTCGCTCCAGTCCCGCAGTTTGAGTGAACGTGTCGATGGTCGCTTGGCAATGTGCTCGACTCTTTGATTTGTTTTTTCTTTTTCAGACAAAATCCATATATAGCTTGGGGGTGAGGGGTGACCCAACTCCCATTCTTGATCATAGCTGCAATAAGAGCGATGTAGGAGCCCCTAGGAGGGCCGGTCTGTGCTCCCCCCTCTGGCCCACCGCGCGTCTCTCTAGTGACTAACTGCGCTTGTAGCTGTATGGCGCTCACGTCTGTGCTATGTCTCTGCTAGTCATCCCCTCCCTCCGCCGCCGGATAGCATGATCAGCAAACTCTCTTCTTACCAACAACCGTTTCTCTCTTAACATTGGGACGAGGAAGGAGCCATGGGCAGACTGGTCTTTTTTCCTCCTTAGGTTCTTCTTTCCCCCTCTCTCTCCCTCTCACACCCCCAACCCCCAATGCCCAGGTGGATCAAACTGACCCTTCTAGGGCCTGACACGAGATTTCTCTCCTGAACCACCCCCTGGTGCCTTCCTCCCAGGGGAAGGGGAGGTGGAAACCCAGCCAAGGGCCATGGTGGGCAAGCAAGGTGGGACGAGGCTATGGCTATTGGGGAGTGGTTTTATTTTGTTTTGTTCTCTTTTTTAAACCGGGCAATATTGTGTTCAGTTCAAGCTGTGAAGAAAAATATAGATCAATGTTTTCCAATAAAATACAGTGACTACCTGGGCTGGCTCTCTTCCCCTTTTGTGATAATTCACAGGTAGAGAATGTTTTTTGCTTTACAAAGGGCATTTCCCACAAGAGCCCTGTGAGCCAGGCCAGCCTCCCCATTTTCCAGATGAAGAAATGGGACACGGAGAGGTTCCGCTCAGATTGACGTCACCACCGGCCACTTCCCTTCCCCCCAGGCCCCCAGCCAGGAGCTGAGCACATCGTCCCGAGCCCTCGGCTCTCCCAGGAGCCTGCCTTCTCTGAGCTCCCTTCCTCCTCCTTGTCATCTCTAGCATGTCGTGTTTGCTTTTTCTCCTATTGTTTCATGGAAGTCAGCCCTATTGAAATTATAAGCATCGATGTCACAGCTGTATCTTGATTCTTATGTCTCCTGTAGTACCTACACTAAAACAACTTCAAAGCTGTTGTGCAGTCGTGTCTGACGTGTGGTGACCCCATTCGGGGTCAAGTGGTTCACTTCTCCAGATGAGGAAACTGAGGTGAACGGTTAAGTCCCTTGCCCAGGGTCACACAGCTAGTGAGAGTCTGAGGCTGCATTTGAACTCGGGTCTTCCTGACTCCAGGCCTACTCTATCCATGGTGCCACCCAGCTGCCAGGACAGTTTCCAGATTGCTATTGAAATGGCATACACTAGTTTTAATCTAAGTAGTTTTACAGAGTTTTGCTCTGGACCATGAAGTGGGTAATGCAAGTGTTAGCCAAATTTAACAGATAAGGAAACAGGGCTCAGTCAGGAGTTCAGCAGTATGCAAGGACCTCCTAGGCGAGAAGGGCCTTGGGTTCCAACTTTATTGAATGGTCACTGATGAACACTGAGCCTGTGTGAGGCACCTTGGAGAGTACAGTAAGGTACAATATAGGGCTTAATTGCATAATTGTGTCCAGTGAGGGGTAAGCAGTGGAGCTCTGGAGTGTGAGGTCAGCAGGACAGCTACCCAGAGGGGGCCCAGCGTCAACTGATAGACGTGAGGGACCAGTCAGATTTGGATGGGGGTTAGTAAAGGTAGAGGGCACTCAGCCGCCCTGGCACCACAACGGGGCTGAGCTGCCAACATCCCCTGGGACCAGAGCCCCTGATGGCAAACCCAGCATTTACCGTGCCATGTTTCTTAGGGGGATCTTAGAGACCATCGGGTCTAACTCCCTTGTTTTACAGAGAAGGAAACCGAGGCCTGAAAAGGTTAAGGGATTTGCCTTTTTGCTGCAGACATCCAGGAAGCAACTGTGGGTGTTATTTGCTTCTGGGGGAAGTGAGTAGGGGCCTAGCTCGGCTGCGGAGTGGCCGTGGCCTGTGCTGCTGCAGGACAGCTCCCTCCTTTATCCGGCGTTCAGTCTGGCCTCTGCTCGTGCAAACCTCCCGGAGCGCCTCTGCCGCGGGCTGCTGTTACCTAGGAGTCTTTTGATGAGTATTTAAATAGCCTTAGAACCTAGAAGCGGAGGCTGGAAGAAGCCTTGCATCCGTCTGCAAGGACCGGCCATTTCGCGGGAGGCTTGGGGGTGCACATGCGGAATGGATGCCCGGGCTCTCCCCTCAAAGACCTCGCAGTCGCGAGGAAGGACCCATGCAGGGTCGTTTGGGGAGGGCGGAGGGCCGCAGCATACCTGGTAGGACCCTGACGCTGAAGCTTGAATGGAGTTGATGGAGCCTTCCGGGCGTGGGGAGCAGCCTTCATTTTACAGATGGGGAAGATGAGGCCCGGAGAGATTGTGACTGGCAATTGCCGTAACATTATTAGTCACGTCCACGTTTAACTGCCCCCTCCCCCAAACAAAGTCTAAGCTAAATAAACAATTAGTGAATGATAGGGAAAGAATTGTATCCTCCCGGGACCAGTGCCTCGAGCGTAGTGCAGAGTCCCGTGGGCTGGAGAAGGGGGCAATGAGCTGAGCGCTTTGAGATCCCTCCCCAGCGCTCGAAGGCCGGACTGTCTTGGGGCCTGCGAGGGTCTCCGGGTGGCCAGCAGAGAGAGGCAGCCGCCAAGCAAAGAACCTCAAGCAACCCCGAGGATCTGGGGCCCGAAAGGCCTCTAACAGCGAAGGATTTCTCGCACAACTCCCGCCCCCGACCCCCACCATGGTTGTTTGATTGGTTGTCATTGACTGAGAAAGTCCATTCCTGGCCCGGGGATCGGCTCCCAAAAGGAGCCGTCTGTTGGGAAGCCAGCTCCCGTCTGACTCCTTCCTGCGTTGGACAAATGAGCATCCCTGGAGAGGGGAAAGGATTTTCTCAAGGTCACACTGGAACACACCCCGAATATAAGGGTAAATCAATGGTCTGTCTACAGCTCCTGTCTCTCTTTAGGAGCCTAGAGCTGGAAGGGACCTCTGAGGCCAGCTGGCCCACCCGCCACATTTTACAGATGAGGAAACTGAGGCCCACGAAGGTAAAGTGCTTGCCCAAAATCTCACATACGTAGTGTCAAAAGTGGGATTTGAACTCAGGGCCTCAACTCCAGAGCTGTTGCTACCTAGCCCGAATCCCACTCCACACCTCCTCCCAAAAAAAACCAAACCCACCCATCCTCCAGGAGTGTACTTCCCAGGCCTGCCCTCTCAATCAGGGCTCCACCCTGCCGTGCCCAAGAGCTATGGGCAGGTGGGATTTCACTTTCCCTTCCCTTTGTTCTGGATCTCTTTTCTTCCCTTATCCCAGCTTCAATGTCCTGTGATTCCTTCCCGGTGGGACTTTCGGCTCAGACTCTGGCCTCGCTGTGCCTATCCATCTTCTTCTCCACGGTTCCCTAACTTAAAACCCCTGCATGCCACATTTCAAAGGGACTGCCCCACCCTCTCATCTGACAGATGACAAAACTGAGGCAGAGGGGGAGGAAGGGACTTCATGTGATAGTGTGATACATTCAACTTTTATCGGCCGTTACCCCGAAGTAGGGAATGTCCTCTTGCTGACATTCAGCCTGGCTCTTTGTCTGACTTTCAAACACTTCCAGTCATAGACAGGGAAAGGAGCACTTGGATTGGGAGAGAGGGTCCCTGCATGCTCATCCTGGCTTGGGGCCCTGGACCAATCACAGCCCACCCCCCACGGACATCATTTTTTACAAATTTTTACTTATTTGAGCCTCACTCCAACCTTACGATGTAGGAACCCCATGGAATTATAATCTCCAATTTTACAGATGAGCAAATAGGATCAGAGGTTAAATGACTTATCTAGGGTCACACAACTGGTCCATCTTAGAGGCGGTATTTGAATCTAGGTCTTCGTGACAGCATGTCCAGTACCGAAAAGGTCAAACATAGATGATATTCTAAGGCCCCTCCCAGCTCTGACATTCCATGTTCCAAGGGCACTTCCTACTCCATTACATGCTATGTCTTCTAAGGTTCCATCTAATTCTAAAGTTCTGTGACTTTGGGAACTTAATAGATGTCCAGTCCAGCTTCACAAAGGAACAGACAAAAAATGACCTGCCCAAGGTCACACAGTAGATGACTTAGTGGCAGAAGGACTGAGCCCAGGCTTTCTGGCTCTTGGGCCGGGTTTCTTTCAATTCCATTGGGCTGGAACCCTGCCAGTCCTACAGTCTAGGAGTCCTGGTGAACCCCGCCTCCATTGTGCTGCCGTGTCTCACCCTAGGCTAAGAAGTCACCTGCATGGGTGCAGCTTCAACTCGTCTGGTCAAAGAGTGCCCCCGAGTGGCCAAAAGGAAGCCTGTCTTGCAGAATCCTGCTGCTTGGTCTGAATGAGAGAATGTGCTGGGCCTTAAGGAGCTGAGCTGAAGAGAACTAGGCACATCACGGAGGGTGGAGCCCACATGGTCCGGAAAAGGGAAGTGGGATTCGCCTGTCAAGCTGTTTTTTTCTACTCACCCTCCAGCCAAGATGCCAATTCACCATTCCCTCTGGTGCCCCAGATTAGGAGCTGTGCCTCCAGCCCCCTCCTTGAACTGCCAAAGGCATGCAGAGGCCTAGAAGGGGCCTCACCCATTTTGGGGTCCACAGAAATGGACTGTGAACTTGGGGAAAAGAATAGAGATTAGAAGGGCCTGGGGAGAAGCTGGAGGCCTATCCTCTACCTCCATCATCACTCCAGGGCCATCGATGGACAGGCAGATATTGAGTGCTTTGAGATCCTAAGGGTTTTGCCCTGTGAATAGGAAGCTTGCAATGCTCATTCACCTAGGACTTGGAGGCATAGTGCGTTGGGTCCCTTGGCCCATTCCCCAACATTTGGATGAGAACATGCTTCCATGTGGTCTATGAACTACCCTCCCTGCCCCCCACACACACTTTTGCGACCACCCCTCTGTTTTCTTTCTTGTACTCTACCATTCACTTCTTCAAATCCTGCCAAGTCCAACAGCTTACCCCTACCCCGCTCCACCGCCCCAGCTCCATCCTCTTCCTCTGGTCATCTCCGACATTCCTTTCACCTTGGGGCACTTCATCTCCCCTGGGGAGAAAACTTGATTAGGGACTAGGGATGGGGATGGGGTGGAAGTATATAAGATGACTTTTTGGGGGGAGTTGCAAGGAGCAACTTGTCTGATGGGGAAGGAAGCCCTTGAAATCTTGAACTCTCCTATACTGAAGAGAGGGAGAGGCCCCCCGCTGGGGAAAGTAGCAGGGAGTGGGGACCAGAGTTGGGGAATTAACATTGAGGATACAGAAGCCACTGAGAACTTTCCGGCTTTCCAAATATTTAGACAGTGAGATGGATAGGGGATAGAGGGCTGGGCTGGGCTGAGTTGAACTGGGGCAAGGGACCAAGGAGCCTAGTTATTTTGAGATCGCTATTCTTCCTGGGTTCCAGGACAAACTTTTTTCCTTCCTCTGTCGTCTGGCCTTTATGGGAGCAGCTACTTAGGGGGTAATCCTAGAGGAGCGCTGAGGTAAAGCCCAAGGTTGGAAGGTTTCGGAGACCCCGGCAAGCCAGATGCCAGGGTTCCTGGGCTGATAGTAAGGAAACCAGATATGTCTGTCCCCTGTGTTCCCCTCCTTTGTCTGAGCCCCACCCAGACGGCCAGTTGTGGCCCTGAGAATTTCATCTGCTTTTGAAACTGAAAGGGCCCTTGGAAACTATTCTAATTCCTTCATTTTACACATGAGAAAACTAAAATGGGACTTGGCCAGAGTCACACAGATGAAACGGAGAGTTGGAGATTTGGTCCATTTCTGATATCATGGTTTGGGGGTCTGCCTTTGATACCTGGAGGAGAACCTGCTTGTACCAACAGTCTGTCTTTCTTCCCATATCCCAAGGAGCCACAGCTCCCCTCCTTCGTCCCACCCAGCCTGGCAAGAGCTGAGATGGCAAACGGAGGCTGGGGGATCAAACTTGGCAGGTGCCTGGTGCCTCATCCCTGGGTTGTGTCCGGAAAGGAGAAATTATGGACCTTAACAGCTGGTGGCCCCATGGGTGGGGCCGGCCGTAGGCAACAGAGTACGTGCTGGAGCCTTCGGAAGACGGCCTTTCTGAAGAGGATGAAAACCCAGGGGTCCAGGATGGGGTTGAAGGCACTGAAGCGGAAAGCAACGAGGTCTCCCAGGTCCTTGTGGTCAGGTTTGATGGCCTGCCTGAAGCCACGGATCTGGGGGAGGAGGAGGGTCAGGGAACAGGTTAAGGAGACCTGGGACACCTGGGGATCAGACCTCCTACTCCCCACTGTTTCTCCAACTGTCTTTTGGGCACCCAGGAGCCCCAGTTCCCAGTTCCTCCCATCTCCTCCCATTCTGAACCCCTCTGGCCGTGATGCCTCCATACACAAAAAACAAGATGGGGTCGAAGGCGCCTTGGACTTCCAGCCCTCACGCCCTCCCCAGGAGTCAAAACCAGGCACCCTACAACTTCCCAAGATAAGGGCAGAAGTAATTTACCCAAAGGTCACAAGGAAGGGGCGAATTACAAAAATTACCAAACAGATGTTTCAATGCGGGTCTTCTGACTAAAACCATCCCTCGGATACTTCCTCTCTCTGGCTTCTACTCTCCACCCCACCCCAGTGGCTCCCACACCCCCTCTCCCCAAGTCGAGTGGAACAAGAGGTGGGGAAGTAGCAAAAAGATAAGGGAAGATAAAGAAACCAAAAAGGAGGAGGAAAAGTCACACTCAGAAGAGCTGAGAGGTGAACCTGGTATCTTACTGGGACTGTGTGCCCACGGGGAGGTCCATGGAGGAGACCAGAATGATAGAACCTCAGCCTTGCCTGGGACTGCAGAGATCATCTCCTACCTGGGCGCCAGCCAAACAGTCTAGCCCTCGCCACCTCCACCACCCCTTTTTATAAAGAAAGTGAGGAACAGAAGACCAAGGAAGTTTTCCCACCATCACAAAGCACACCAGTGGCCTGATACAAAGGAGAGACCCAGGTGAGCACTAAGTAGATACCTCCAGTCTGAGGGACTACGTATAGCTGGGCATGTGAGGAAATGAGAGGGGGCTATAGGCTATGGAATAGGAGGAAGAGGAGGAGGGACAAGGAGGGAAGGTCCTCTAGACAGGGGTACACAATCCAATTCATGATGCCATGCCTGAAAGGGACATTTAAGATTGCTTCTCATTTTGTAGGTGAGGAAACTGAGGCCCAGAAGAGCAAAAGGCTTTATCCATAGTCGAGGTGCAGGTAAGGGACAGAGAGAGCAGAGAAGGCAAGGAAGACTGAAGGAAAGGAGCTACTCCCTGCCCCCTCCTTTCCCCTTCTACAGGGGGTCTCACCGTGAGCGGCAGCGAACAGATGGCCAGGATGCCTGTCATGAGGGCCAGCAGGATCAGGTGGTCCACTTCATCCTCACCCTCCCTGGGCCCCGTCCCGGCTCGGCCAGGCGCCAGGGAGCCCCTCCGCCGCCGCTGTTCCCGGTACATGCGGCACAAGCTCAGGGTGACGGAGCCGTTGCATAAGATGATGGCACCCACCAGCAGTGCCACCAGGGTGGCATAGGCCAGCGAAAAGGCCCGCACAGCCACCTCCTCGGAGCGCATCTGGATGAAGCACCAACTCCCCGGACAGTACTGTTGGTGCCGGCCCAGCCCCAACAGAGGTAAGGAGCAGAACAGGGCACAGAAGGTGTAGATAGCAGGCAGGGCCAGCTTGGCATAGCGACGTCCATTGAGTTGTGCATAGCGGTAGGGGTGGCTGAGGGCCAGGCATCTCTCCACAGCCATGGCACAGAGGATGAGTGTGGATGCCAGGCCAAAGAAGGTCATGGCGAAGGCAAAGCAGTGGCATAGCCCCGGCCCCTGAGTCAGCCCCAGGAGAGAGCTGTTCTGGGCATAGGCCACAAAGACAGCGGGGCTCAGGAAGCATGTGCCCAGCAGGTCAGTGCCGGCCAGCCCGGTGACCAGCACGGCGAAGGCTGAGGAGCGAGCCCGTAGCACCCGCCGGTGGGCTGCCAAGATGCCCAGGGCCAGTCCATTACCAACCACCCCAGCCAGAAACATCAGCGAGCTTGTCACTGGACCACCATTGCCCTGGACGTAGGTGAGGTTCTCGCATAGCTCAGGCATCCCCGGAAGGGCTGGAAGCTGCCTTGGGGCTCGGGGCCCCAGGGGCAATGGCCCTTCAGGAAGCAGCAAGGGGGGCAGAAGGAGCTCCGGAGCCCTCCTACCAACCTCACCCTAAAGCTTTCTTTGCTCTCTGGGTGCTCAGATTTCCCTCATCGAGATCACCCTCACCTCTCTCACCTCTCTCCCAACATGTCTGCAGAGAGTCTTCAGCTCCCCATGCTCTGCTCTGACTCTGACTCAACTCTGCCTGTGTACTGTCTGTCTGCTCCCTCTCTGGGCTCTCTATGCACCTCCCCTCCCCTCCCCTCCCCTCCCTCCTCCTCCTTCCTCCCTCCTCCCTCCTCTCTCTCTCTCT